TGTGGTTTTTTAAGTGGTAGGGAAACTCTAACCTTTGTATTTAGACTGTAAACTGAGTTGAACAGTTTTCCTGACTGGTTCTTTATTACAACTGTATTACAACTACTGAGCTCGCGCTCATACGACATAATAGTGTGGTGAATCACAAGAGGCTAAAGGCCTCAATGTACTATTTAATAACAAATTTACTTAACAGTCTCTTTGACCTTTGTGTTTTTATTGTGGACTCGGTTTTCCTCTTTGTAGTGCGTTTGCTTGTGATTATTTAATTCCGTTGATCTTCCCTTTCTAACATGGTTTCGATGTAACCTTGTGATGTTGGATTTCCTGATTTACTATTTATCAGCATCCAATAAATAGATTTCGAATTTACCTTATCCAACTTACATTCTTCATTCCCAAAAAATGTGCGTTTTTTTTATTTATTCATCAAACTACAAATCAAAAACACACACACATACAGACAAGCAATTTACAACTTTTAAAGAAATCACTAAGTGTGTTTCTCTAGATTTATCATGTATTCTCTATTTACAATTTTTGAGAAACTCACATTAAGTGTTTTTCTCTAGAAAATCAGTGACGAATTAGTTGTTTGTGCTTAATAAGTTTTGTTAAACAAGTTAGGACAACAAGAGATTTCGAAGTTTCGACGCCATCGCGCGTCATTTTCAAGAATAATTTATTAGATTGATCACTACAGTTTTTATATGTTATTGAATATATTACATGTCTCTTGGGATAATCTTATTTTAGAACACTTTTGACTTAATTGAGTCAGATTGTGCATTTAGCAGTGGTTCTTTGTTCTTGATGTATAGCATTTCATAGATTAAGCATTCTGATTTGTTCTTACTTCTTCTGAGTACTTTAAAACTCTCTTTGAAACCTTGTAGGCTTTCGTGGCAATCTTTGTGATGATTTCCAACTTTGGTTGATGCGTGTTCGTCGATGCGTTGGAAGAGATGACGGCACGTGTAGCCTATATAACCCGCCTCACACAGGTCACACTTATAATGATAAACAACGTTCTGTTGGTTTATAATAGGTAATTTGTCCTCTTTCAGACCAAGCGAGTCACCAAGTTTTCGACTTGTGAAGACTGGTTGCACTTGCGTATTTAGGCGATTGTTGAGTTCCTTGAGGCCTCTTTTAACGACATCGCACGATGTTTGGTCTTTGAAAGGCAAGGCAAATCTTATCACGTTCTGTGTGTCGATTGATGGCTGTTGTTGTTGCTGTTGATCTTGTTGTTGTTGCTGGTTCACAAGGCTTTTGACTGAGGAGTTAAACAGGACCATAGGGTATTGGTGTTTCCCGAAGATTTCTTTGAGACGATGTACTTCGTGCATGAAGTACGACCAGGACGAGGAGAGTCTGTAGGCTCTATGTAGCTTTCTTGTATCTTATGTTCACGTGGCTTTTGAAGTGCAAGAGAAGGCCCTTATCTGTTGGTTTTCTGTAGACTTCTGTGTGTAGATCTGAGCCTTTCTTGGTTATGAGCATACCGAGAAAAGGAAGCTTGTGGTTTTGGGCTGTTTCCATGGTGAATTCTAATGGTGGATGGGCTTTTCTCAGCACCTCGAGGAAGGCCTCGGCATCATCTTTGCTCTCTGCGAAGGCAAGAGTATCGTCGACGTATCTTTTGTAGAATGATGGCAGTTTCTCTGCCGATTCGAGACTTTCTTCTATGCTGCATAGAAAAGTGTTCGCCATGAGTGGCCCTAGGGGGGACCCCATTGCTACGCCGTCGTTATGCTCAAAAAGTTGGCCATCGAACTGAAATAATTGGCTCTCGATTACATTGAGCTATAACCTATAGCTCCACGCGTGCGATCAACTGATCCAATAACAAAGACACCTCCCTCGGCTTGCTGGGCTCAGCCCTAAATTCCTAGTGATTTTGATACAAGTAACAGCGACTCTAAATTGTCCTTAACGTAACCGTCTTTCGCATTTTCGCTAGACCATCTTCCGTGCCTTTTAAAGAGTCTGTCGGGRACTCCCGCGTTGGCTGCCGCTGAGGCTCCGCCTGAACGTAGACTGTGGAGGCTAATCTTTGAAACGTCTGTAATGCCTTGGAACGCTTCTTTAACTAGTTCTCTCGCTCTAGTGTAGCTTATCCCTTGCGACCGGACTTTGGTTGGAGTTATAGCTCTGAATAGTGGGAGRTCCTCTTCCATTCCAATTTTGGCTGCGTTCATATATCTCTCTATAGCCGTGACTGGACAAGTATCTTTCCTTGTACGCGCTATGTTAATCCAAGCACCTTCTCTCAGCTGGTCTGTCTTTGAAGATTCTACGAATATAGCACAGTATGTGTCAAAGAACTTCACGTCACAAGAACGAATTGAACATAGCTCACTATAGCGGAAAAAACCCGCATATCCTACTAGGCATAAGGCTAKAGTACGTAAAATAGATAAAGWATTCTTATCTTTGTATTTTYGAGCCAARGATTGTAGCATCTCTGCCGTGATTGGTTCTTTGCGACATTTGGGTTTGGCTAAAATACGCTGCCCCGCGCCGGTCAACGATTCTACCAACTTGTGGGTTGAAACCTTTGGATAGCCAGACAAACCGTGTACCCAGTCGATGCTGTAGATTGCTGTTAGGAGTGGAGACGGAGAGYTAGCCTCCTGCAACAACAGTTGTAAGTAAGCCGCWACRTGAAATGGATTTGCGGGCARATGTTGAAGACCATTTTGAGAWGCCCATCGTTTCCAACGGTTGAATCCCCCCAAGTAGGTACGAACTGTGCCGTCGGATTTGGAGGCGAAAACTGACCCTTTAACTTTATCTGATAAGTGCTTTAGATGGGCAGGAAGAGCATCGTCGAATTCGGTCCACATGGGTGACTGGGCGATATCTAAATAAACCAAAAAATTAAATAAAGGAAAAATGTGTTAGTTGTAAATATAAATCGGTCCCTGAACATACGCTGGGCACAGATGGTCCCATGCTGGTCACATATTCTTTTATTCATATGCTGGGCACAGATGGTCCCTGATCATACGCTGGGCACAGATGGTCCCATGATCACATACTCTTTTTACTCATATGCTGGGCACAGATGGTCCCTGATCATACGCTGGGCACAGATGGTCCCATGATCACATACTCTTTTTACTCATATGCTGGGCACAGATGGTCCCTGATCATACGCTGGGCACAGATGGTCCCATGATCACATACTCTTTTTACTCATANAGTATGGGCTCCAAAGCGTTGCAGGTTCTGCTGCTCGTTGTCTGTATTGCGAGTGTTAGTTTTGCGAGACCGATCCCACGTTCACATAAAGGTATTAGTAATTTCTTCTCTTTTAAAACTAAAAATCTTATATGAAATTCGGTTTTCTCCCACATTGTTTATAAAGCAATCTGTTGTGTATAAAACTATGGTCAACGTTGGTGAGGGGGGTTAGTGAGGTCTTCAAATAAAAATTGTACGTTGCGTAAATTTACTGACTGACCGTTTAATATCTTATGTAATCATCCCTAAAAGTCATAAAACACATTACGAGATTAACTTGTTTTTCCAATAAACTAATGATTGTTTTTTGCTCAACAGTGCTGGACGAGGCTGATTCTGGTTCGTCATCAAGTCAATTTTATTTTGACAAAGATGATACCATAGAAACATCAGGTAAGTTATCTAGTAGCAGAATCCCTAAGCTTCTTTACTGGAAAGTGGGATAGATAAATTAGTGGGATTAGATAGATTACAGATCAGTTAGCGAGGGCTTTGCAGTGTAACACGAGCAACAAACCAGCACCAATGCAAACCAACGCAAATGAAAGCACAAAAATGGAAACTTCTTTCACTTTCTTGYACTTGCAATATCCAGCGACGCCATTTTGTGTAGCATGATGAAAGTTGTAGTACGTGTACTTATTATAGACACTAAATGCTGATCTCCCTAAGAAGAGTTTTCATGTTTTCTCAGAAGAAACGGTAAAACCACTTCTTCTTTTTTGCTTGAAAAATTATCAAAAACTGATAAAGGAGGACTGTTGTAGCGGACATAAAAARTATGAGGGCTACAACTACCGTCATGCTTTGCTGCACAAAATGGCTTCGCTGCACTTGCGAGCTTTCGTTTCTATTTGCGTTGGTCGTGTGAACAATTTGATACCAACTTATCAATCTCGAGTGTCAATTTGAGTTTTATCTTTTTGAYAATTCTAAAAATAGTGATTTTTTTGGACAATAGCGATAGACGAAGCCGATTCTGGTTCGTCACCCAGCGCGGATCTTTTCAAAGATGATGGCATACAAACATCTGGCGGTAAGATCGATAGTTGGTTTTACCTTGCTTTGCAGGGCAACTACATTATTAATTTTCGTTCTGGATCAATATTTGTTGATAAAGAATTAGCCTCTGATCAGAGAAAATGTCAAATTTGCAGCGCTATGATAATCAGATCTTTTCGTGCTTTCCTTTTATGGAGAGGTCTTTGTCGCAAGAGACCGTTGTCAGATGGCGGTGGATGCGGAACATTTCTAAACGAACGCTGCATCAGTTGYTGTTGCTGTTTTTCAGAATGAGTCTTATTTATTGCCGTTTCACATATTCTAGCCATACTAATTTAGTATTTTTTTGAGATGCAGAAACTGAAGAAGGATCAGCAACATCTKTCAAGACGTTTGAAAATCTCGAAGAAGATCAAGACGAGACGAATCCGTTCTTCTTTGAAGATAATGAGGAAATGGAGGAAGGATCAACGAAATCTGACCAGAAGTTTGAAAATACCGACGAAGGTCAAGAGGAAATAAATCCGTTCTTCTTTGAAGGTAAATGCTTCAGGAGGAGCCGACTGGGGCTGTTCTTCTAAATAACTGTTCTTGACGAATTTATTCCTGGGAAAAGGATTTTTAGCTAAATTGTTGACAATCTCACAAACAAATGTGTCGCCCTTCCTTCTGTAAAATAATTTTGTTACTGCCAAACCRCGGCAAACGTTTTTATGGTTAAAAACGGCTTATATATTTTTAGTTAGGAAATTTGTATTTTCCTGGCAAAAATTCTTAGAAAGTGTTGCTGCTTGACTCGAGATTCCTTTTATTCCTGAATTCTCGCTGGCAACCAGTTGTGGATTACAGGTGACTGGGACATAAGAACAGATATATTTCTTCCAGGAACCCGTCAKCTTCTCCTAATGCTTTCATCCCAGAGGCTATGATTTACATTATCAACAAGGATTACTATTGGTTCAACCTTCACTTCATGATAGCCTACAATAGTCTTGTTCCTTCACTAAAAGTTATACAAAAATCTTCATTATGCTTAACTTAAGCTTTTCCAAAACAGGTCCTTATCAAAGCAATCTTTACGAGTCACATGATGACGAAGATCACGAACCTTCATTATACTCGCGTCGTTTTCGTCATGATGAGACTTAAACAACCTCCATCTCGGATACAACATAACCGGATATGACTAAAATAAATAAAACAAGGATTTGACATTGACTTGGAATTTACACTACTTGGATAAGACGTAAAGCGTAGACCTGAAGTTGGAAAACATTTCCTGGAAAGCCACTARTTTTCCAAACAAATATTGGTATCACTTTCATCCTATTCTATCCTATGTTTGGAATAYGAACGGACTAGTTTACATCAAAAAGAACTGGCAAAGTCTGCTTAAGAATGCATACAATGAATCCAAAAMTCTAGTAAAAAAGAAAACTGGAAACTGCATGGAAACTTGTATAAAAAAATGATATCTAAAAAAAATGAACGAGACAGAGTCCAGAGAAAGCTTAGCAGGTTATCGCAATGAAACTGGTCTCAAATATGGCAATATAGACTCAAGAACACCACCGTCTATTACAAACAAACAGATGTCAAACAAGGAGAAGATCTTGGTATTTGCGAAAGCTGCAATTCTTGATGAACTTTGACACGCTAACCACGCTTGTCTATGTCTTGTTCCTCTTCGTACATATATGCGTGCAAACACCACTAAACATTAGCACATATTATGGTTTTCATTGGCTGATAGACTCCAGATCCCAGTGTTGTTGACACGTTCGATGTATAACACACAGCGTCCAGATAATTGTTCGGGTTGCCAGTAGCTCAGTGGTAGAGCATCCGGCCAGTAAACCGGAATGCCATGGGTTCGATCCCCATCTGGTGACCAAGATTAATTATTCTGTTGACAATGTTGTGTTCATCATGGTTGATCAGGAATTTAATGGCTGATGAATTTGCCGATACGTGCAGCAATGATGCATTTCAGTGCATTACACTCAACCATGCAGGCGATCATTCAGGTTTCCAGTAGCTCAGTGGAAGAGCATCCGGCYAGCAAACCGGAAGRCYGTGGGTTCGATTCCCACCTGGTTACCAAGATTTTTCTGCAAGTTGGAGTGGTAACTGTATGTAGTGGTTGGTTTTATCTGTTCAACAACATTGAACTTTGAGAACACGCGTTTGGTACAGAGGCATCATAGAAGAAGCACGGGAAGCAACAAACAAGAGTATTTCAAGAAAATAGTCTGCATAAAAAGCGACATTGACATTGAARAAATATCTTTAAGTTAAGAACTACTATGAAAAGAGCAGTTTSTTGGAATGACCGACATCACATCACAGCACAACAAMGGCTAGTTTAGGAAATTCTTGACCTYTGGGATAGCATTGTGATTTAAAAAACGTTTCAAAAAGMTWAGGTGATGACTTTTCAATCTCACGTCTTTAATATTGCTAACGTGGATGAGTTGAACAGCGTCCATCTTGGAGTGATACAATCGGATTTGACAAAAAGAATARTAAAAGAACAAAACAGGATTTGACATTAACTTGGACTTGACACAGCAATTTGGTTTATGAAAGTTTCTGATAATCATGACGCTCAATAAAGACAGTCAAAGTCTATGGTGGACTCGAAAACCATTCTAGACAAATTAAAAGACCATGTTATTTTAGACTGTTGCAATTGGACAGGCCAAAAAAAGRGCTATAGAAAAGATAACTGACACGCATCACAACTTATGGAAATCCTTCTCTCTGGAACCAACCTGGTGAAAACTTATTATGAATACTGGTGATTACTCCCTTTTGAATGTCATCGTGCTAGAAGTTAAAAGAAAGAAGCCACGATTACTGCCCGAAAGACAGTTACACTCACATCTTGTTAGAAGGCACGGGGAGGCATCGGATGAAAGTATTGCATCAACTGACGATAGTTATTGGAAGCCCCAACCATATGTTCCATCAGAAGTACTGGTGATTACTGTTAGCAAGATAACATCTTGTTAGARGGTGGCGGAAGGAAACAAAGGAAGAAAGACTGACGATAGACATTGGAAGCCCAATCTATATGTCCATCAGAAGTACTGGTGATCACTGTGAGTAGAAAAACATCTTGGCAGAAGGAAACAACGGAAGAGCGTATTGCATCAACTAACAATAGATATTGGATGCCCCATCCATATGTCCATCAAGCCCCATCCATATTTTCATCAGAAATACTGGTGATCACTGTGAGTAAGATAACATCTTGATAGAAGGTAGCAGAACGAAGCAACGGAAGAAAGAATTACGTCGACCTGATGATAGACATTGGAAGCCCCATCCATATGTCCATCAGAGGTACCGGTGATCACTGTGAGTATGATAATATCTTGATAGAAGGTAGCAGAACGAAGCAACGGAAGAAAGAATTACGTCGACCTGATGATAGATATTGGAAGCCCATGCATCCATATGTCCATCACAATCTTGGTAGGAGGTACCAGAAGGAAGCCACAGAGGAAAGAAATAACATCGACTGACGATAGACACTGGAAGCCCCATCCATGTCCATCAGAAGTACTGGTGATTAGTGTGAGCAAGTCTTGGTAGAAGGTAGCGGAAGAAAGCAACGAAAGAAAGAATTACATCGACTGATGATAGACATCGTAAGCCCCATCCATATGTCCATTACAAGCTTGGTAGGAGGTACCAGAAGGAAGCCACCAGAAGAAAGATTACGTCGACCTGATGATAGACATTGGAAGCCCCATCCATATTTCCATCAGAAGTACTGGTGACTACTGTGAGTATGATAACATCTTGGTAGAAGGTAGCAGAACGAAGCAACGGAAGAAAGAATTAC